TGCTTGGGGGCGATTCCATCGCTAGAGTGAGTAGTGGGCCGGTAGGGTACTAATATTAGATGGTTTTGAGAATTTTGTCGAGAATTCTCAAAAAAATTCCCAAAATATTTTCTCAAAAATATTCCCAAAACAGGCCAAAATAGGGTATATTTTGACCGATATTAGGTACAGAGATAGATGTTCGTTTTTTTATTTCTTTTTTTCTATCGCTTCGTCTTTGTTATATCTTTCGTACAAACCCGACTATGCTACCATCACTAACACGGTTGCACCCAGAAAATCTATTGCATTTAGGTACCCTAACTTATGATACAGAGGAAGTATGAGTACTACAGCAGTAGCTCTCGTGAGGATTACATAATCCATAATCCACGTCATGAACACCCTCCCTGATTCTGTACATCGTCACTCATGCTTGTAAAACCAAGTATCCGGGTACTCATAGAAAACTCCAAAGAAAAACAAAATAAACGAAGGGAAACCCGCCAACGGATCAAAACCCTCCGTCTCCAAGGTCACTCTGCTGATTGACTTGTCAACCCAAATCTACGCAGCTTCACCAAATTGCAAACCTACTCGTTCACAATTATCAGGACATTTTTACTACTCCTTATCAAGTAGCCCCCTCCCAGCAACTGATCCTCACTGTATCAAGTTGCCGTAAGCACCGGGGCGCGTCTACAGCCCCAAGCACCAATCAATGTCAAATCGTCGTGGAGAAGCAAAAGATCCAACGCTACATCGTTCTCGCAACGGAAAGGCGTAAATCGGTGCTACATCGCTCCCAAATGACATCTAAAAGGGCGATCAACCAAGCGGAAGATCAAGCAGTATCCCAACGCAGTTCATCAGCCAACTTGCTGGTACTCCTACGGGAGACACTGGTGACAGACAATTTCACTACTCCTTTTTCAAGTAGCCCCCTCCCAGCAACAGATCCCTACTGTATCATGCTGCTGTCAGCTCCGGGGCGCGACCACAGCCCCAAACACCAAAGTCGATCCATAACAGAAGAGAAATCCACGCTTCATCATTGCCATCGTTGGAACAACATGTAAAAAGGGCAATCAATCACATCGCAGGGAAGGGTGCCCCCCTCGACCTGTACAGCAATGAAAGATCAAGCAGCGCCTATCAAAAGAACAGCTCATCAACCAACTTGTTGGTACCTGTATATACTGTTAACAGACGCTGGTCGTCGAGTCAATCCCAAATCGACACGGCAGAAATTGCAAACCTACGCGTTTACAAGATCGGACATTTGTACTACTCCTTATCAAGTAGCCCCCTCCCAGCAACTGATCCTCATTGTATACAGTTGTATCAAGCTGCCGTAGGCACTGAGGCACGTCTACAACCCCGAGCACCATTATTGCCGATCTATCACATCGGAACAATATTTTAAGAGGGTAATCAACCAAAACGCAGGGAGGAGTGCCCCCCTCGACCTGAGCAGAAGTGGAAGATCAAAGCAGTGTCTCAATCACAAACAGCTCATCAACCTACTCGTTGGTATCTGCATAAAATGAGAGACGCTGGTCGCCATTCATCACTCAGGAGGGGTCGTACGTCATCCCTCCCTGATTTCAGCCAAATAACTCAACCACAAGTCGATAAACAACGGAAATGCGTCAACTTTCGCACACCGGAACAACTCGGGCTGAAAAACATTTCCGATTATCATCCATCAAATTGGCGTGATCCGCGGTGCCCCGCATATCATCAATCCTCAAAATGAGACAACAACAGGATGCCACACCATCATCAAATATTCATCATGCAAGGACGCCTCTGCATCAATCTACAAGATTATCTACTGAGATGAGCATGGTAGACTGAACGAGCAACGTCGAGTTTCGTGGATTGCCTGCGTGTCGGCTCAACACACAAAAGAAAAACAACACACCAACAAGAAAAGAATCCCACAACCATATTCCGTCAGCCACATCACCGAATCCGACTCTTCACAGAAAAAAGGCCGCCGACCGAAAAACGCGAAGGGGGGAGGTACGTTGTTGGTGCACAAGGCGGGAACAGATCGAGATATCATCAGAGGGCAGAGCATGCGACGTCCAACTCGTCGACGTCCAACTCGACTGCACACACTGCAGTCGCGCCGCCCTTCTCATATTTCGATGGACAGTACTTCACGTTGTGTCCTTTCCCTCCGCACTTCTGGCAACGCTGCTCGGGGCATTCACTCACATAGTGGTCCCCATCACAGATGTAGCATTTGACGGAGTTTTTGCCGTTCGCCAAGCACGCCTCTTCATCCCCCCCACGGCCCAGTTTCGACCGCCGTTTCCCTTTCCCCTTCGCCGCTACTGCTACGAAAGCATGTTGCGCTCGCCTGTCACTCTTCCCGTTCGTCTCCTCTACCTTCAGTTGTCCAGACCTGGCACGCAACACCCTCAAAATCTCCTCTTCATCGAGGGTTTTCTGAGCAAGCAATTGCTGCTTCTGGACATCAAAGTCGATCGAGAGGCCGTCGAGGAATCGCGTATAAACGAGCATTTTGGGGATGGGCTGGTCGAATGCCATCTCTAGGCTGGTCACAATGGACTTGAATTCCTGAAAGAAAACGCGAGGGTCCTGCTTCTTCTCTTGTCGGGCGCTGAAAAACTTTCCCATCAGGGAGATCTGCTCACCCCCAGTCAACGGGGAAAAAGTCTCTACCAACGCACGCCATGCTGCTGAGGGCCCCTTACAACCGAACACCATCATCTTGGTGGTGTTGTCCGAGATCGCTCCTGTTAACATACCCCACAGGTCTCGGTACATCGATATCTCATCAAACTTCACCCCCTGCCCTACCATGCCTTCATCATCTACCCCTTGGACCACGATGTCTCTACTGTCAGTCAAAGCACGAGTCATCCCGCAAGTTTGCACCTGCGTGGTAAATTCGTTCTGAAACATCGGCCAGTTTTTTTCGTGGCCGTCGAAGTTCAACTGCTTCAGGCGTGGGATTCGAGCGTGGGAGGTCGTGGTGTACCGTGCCCTGTGCTCACTGTTCATTCCATCCCGCGAGACGTTCCCCTCAGACGGCGTTGATTCTTGAGGCACCGGCCCCAGCAGTCCTCCTCTCGCTCCCTCGACTCCTCGTCCAGTGTTCGGCGCCTGGTCCTCCCGACCGGCGCCAGGAGAGGCGTGCATCCCCTCCCGTGACTCTCCTCCGCCACCCGCAGCCGTACCTGCGGCGGGCGGTGTCTCGGGCACTAACCGAGACAGGGCGTCCATGAATCCTTCCATCTTCTCTGCCATCATCTTCTCCAGTCTGGTGCTGGCGTCGCCGACGGCTTCGTCGATAGCCGTCTTGACCTCATCACGAGTAGGGGCGGTCCCGCCCGTGCCAGGAACTCCAGCTTCTCCTGTCGACATCTGTCGGCCTCACTAGGAAATGAAGATAACCGTTGCTCTAGAGTGTTGATTGGTCCCAAGCCCAGTGCTGCTGTACAAGCACGGCTGACCCAGTTGACAGGATTGGATAGATGGTTAAGTCGTTTTATTAGGTCGTCCCACGTAGACAAGCGCACAGAAGAGAGTGGCAGCGGGGGGCAAGCTCCCGTGCCGCACACCAGTAACCAGTCGCAATAAATCCACCGCCGTAAAGATGCATCCATAACTCGGAACACATCACAGCTTGCTAAAGATACGCAGGGATTACCCCGAAGATCCGCACCCGCTGGGCGGTCGATTGCAGTCGCACAATTCCATAGCTCCAAACCACATATGAGTACTACAGCAGTAGCTCTCGTGAGGATAACATAATCCATAATCCACGTCACGAACACCCTCCCTGATTCTGTACATCGTCACTCATGCTTGTAAAACCAAAAATCCGGGTACTCATAGAAAACTCCAAAGAAAAACAAAATAAACGAAGGGAAACCCGTCTACGGATCAAAACCCTCCGTCTCCAAGGTCACTCTGCTGATTGACTTGTCAACACAAATCTACACAGCTTCACCAAATTGCAAACCTACTCGTTCACAATTATCAGGACATTTTTACTACTCCTTATCAAGTAGCCCCCTCCCAGCAACTGATCCTCATTGTATACAGTTGTATCAAGCTGCCGTAGGCACTGAGGCACGTCTACAACCCCGAGCACCATTATTGCCGATCTATCACATCGGAACAATATTTTAAGAGGGTAATCAACCAAAACGCAGGGAGGAGTGCCCCCCTCGACCTGAGCAGAAGTGGAAGATCAAAGCAGTGTCTCAATCACAAACAGCTCATCAACCTACTCGTTGGTATCTGCACAAAATGAGAGACGCTGGTCGCCATTCATCACTCAGGAGGGGTCGTACGTCATCCCTCCCTGATTTCAGGCAAATAACTCAACCACAAGTCGATAAACAACGGAAATGCGTCAACTTTCGCACACCGGAACAACTCGGGCTGAAAAACATTTCCGATTATCATCCATCAAATTGGCGTGATCCGCGGTGCCCCGCATATCATCAATCCTCAAAATGAGACAACAACAGGATGCCACACCATCATCAAATATTCATCATGCAAGGACGCCTCTGCATCAATCTACAAGATTATCTACTGAGATGAGCATGGTAGACTGAACGAGCAACGTCGAGTTTCGTGGATTGCCTGCGTGTCGGCTCAACACACAAAAGAAAAACAACACACCAACAAGTAAAGAATCCCACAACCATATTCCGTCAGCCACATCACCGAATCCGACTCTTCACAGAAAAAAGGCCGCCGACCGAAAAACGCGAAGGGGGGTAGTACGTTGTTGGTGCACAAGGCGGGAACAAGACATCACTAGAGGGCAGAGCATGCGACGTCCAACTCGTCGACGTCCAACTCGACTGCACACACTGCAGTCGCGCCGCCCTTCTCATATTTCGATGGACAGTACTTCACGTTGTGTCCTTTCCCTCCGCACTTCTGGCAACGCTGCTCGGGGCATTCACTCACATAGTGGTCCCCATCACAGATGTAGCATTTGACGGAGTTTTTGCCGTTCGCCAAGCACGCCTCTTCATCCCCCCCACGGCCCAGTTTCGACCGCCGTTTCCCTTTCCCCTTCGCCGCTACTGCTACGAAAGCATGTTGCGCTCGCCTGTCACTCTTCCCGTTCGTCTCCTCTACCTTCAGTTGTCCAGACCTGGCACGCAACACCCTCAAAATCTCCTCTTCATCGAGGGTTTTCTGAGCAAGCAATTGCTGCTTCTGGACATCAAAGTCGATCGAGAGGCCGTCGAGGAATCGCGTATAAACGAGCATTTTGGGGATGGGCTGGTCGAATGCCATCTCTAGGCTGGTCACAATGGACTTGAATTCCTGAAAGAAAACGCGAGGGTCCTGCTTGATCTCTTGTCGGGCTCTGAAAAACTTCCCCATCAGGGAGATCTGCTCACCCCCAGTCAACGGGGAAAAAGTCTCTATCAACGCACGCCATGCTGCTGAGGGCCCCTTACAACCGAACACCATCATCTTGGTGGTGTTGTCCGAGATCGCTCCTGTTAACATACCCCACAGGTCTCGGTACATCGATATCTCATCAAACTTCACCCCCTGCCCTACCATGCCTTCATCATCTACCCCTTGGACCACGATGTCTCTACTGTCAGTCAAAGCACGAGTCATCCCGCAAGTTTGCACCTGCGTGGTAAATTCGTTCTGAAACATCGGCCAGTTTTTTTCGTGGCCGTCGAAGTTCAACTGCTTCAGGCGTGGGATTCGAGCGTGGGAGGTCGTGGTGTACCGTGCCCTGTGCTCACTGTTCATTCCATCCCGCGAGACGTTCCCCTCAGACGGCGTTGATTCTTGAGGCACCGGCCCCAGCAGTCCTCCTCTCGCTCCCTCGACTCCTCGTCCAGTGTTCGGCGCCTGGTCCTCCCGACCGGCGCCAGGAGAGGCGTGCATCCTCTCCCGTGACTCTCCTCCGCCACCCGCAGCCGTACCTGCGGCGGGCGGTGTCTCGGGCACTAACCGAGACAGGGCGTCCATGAATCCTTCCATCTTCTCCGCCATCATCTTCTCCAGTCTGGTGCTGGCGTCGCCGACGGCTTCGTCGATAGCCGTCTTGACCTCATCACGAGTAGGGGCGGTCCCGCCCGTGCCAGGAACTCCAGCTTCTCCTGTCGACATCTGTCGGCCTCACTAGGAAATGAAGATAACCGTTGCTCTAGAGTGTTGATTGGTCCCAAGCCCAGTGCTGCTGTACAAGCACGGCTGACCCAGTTGACAGGATTGGATAGATGGTTAAGTCGTTTTATTAGGTCGTCCCATGTAGACAAGCGCACAGAAGAGAGTGGCAGCGGGGGGCAAGCTCCCGTGCCGCACACCAGTAACCAGTCGCAATAAATCCACCGCCGCAAAGATGCATCCATAACTCGGAACACATCACAGCTTGCTAAAGATACGCGGGGATTACCCCTGGGCGGTCGATTGCAGTCGCACAATTCCATAGCTCCAAACCACATATGAGTACTACAGCAGTAGCTCTCGTGAGGATTACATAATCCATAATCCACGTCACGAACATCTTTCACTCGGCAAGAGCAACAACGCCCGGGCGAACTTGAACTTGTAGTCACAATCTGCTTGCTGTGGGAGATGCGCATCGTTACGCGAGGAAGGCGTTCACTCCTCATAAAATATGCTGCCGTAGACTCTACCCCTCAAGCTCAACCACAGCTATACCCGATACATCGTAGCATCATATCCAGTTGCAGAAGAATCGAGAGAAATGCTGTTTTCTTGGTGGCGAGGCGGACCCTCTTGTTTGTGACTCTCCAACTAACTGCTGTTCGTGGATGGCGACATGGCGACACAGATAGACAAAATCTAGGGTTTGACGCCGGTCTTGTCCGCCGCAGGAGGTGGAAGCTACCTAAAGCCGGGGAGGGGTCGTGATTTCCAATTCCCTAGGGAATCGTACATGAGGCGCCATGAGATTTGCACTGCCGTAGCCGCGGTTATTTTTTATTTTTTATTTTTTATTATTGTTTTTTTGTCTTGACTTCAAATCAGCGCTCACAGCACTGGTGCCGTTTTCTCCAACCCGTCGTCACACAGAAGAGCCCCTCTCCACCCTCCCCTCCTGCGGTACTTTGCCTCCGATTTTTAATGCGAGAAGAGTTCAGCACTCTCTTCCCTTTTGTGTACTCACGAACTAGCGCTATGCACTAGGCCAGGAGCGGAAGCGAGAGGAAAATTCACGTTGCAAGAAAAGCTCGCTTACGCCGGGATTCGAACCCTTAACCTGACCTCTGAAGGTTTCGGGGATACCAACTAGACCACCGGGGCGACCATAATGGTGGTCTATATAGTCGGCAGGGAAACACAAAATAATATCTTCGGCGGACCGGACCCTCATTTTTTCAACTGGCCAACTGCTGTTTGGATGGCGAGACAATTTCCGGTCTTCTTGTCCGTCACAGGAGGCCGAAGCTGATGCTCGAACTCGGGGAGGGGTCATGGTGTGCGATTCCCTACCGAACCATACTCGCTCGGGGCACCACGTCATGGACATGACAAGAAAAGCATCCCCCCAGCGGAAACTGCTGAATTTTATGAGTAGGTGGGTGTGGGTGGCCCCAAAACAATGAAACAGTCGCGGTTCGCGTTGTTCTGGGGCCCCACCGGCGAAAAACCACTGTCGCCGCTCTGAACCGCTGGAAGCTGTAGCACAACATTGCATGTGCGGCGAACCGTAGGGGCCATGCGCATTGCTTGACGGAAAGAGGCGGCGCCCATCGCCTGACATGCAGCAGCCGGGTACACGGGTAGCCTCCTACTCAGCAAGAAGCAAAATGATTGCCGTTAACGTTCGATGTTATGGGGACCCTAACGGCGAAAATGCGTCAGAGGGAGGTTGACAAAAGGAAGAGATACTCGAGAAGGTAAGGCATGGACTCACTCACTCTCATCCCTCTGGCCCACCGCAGGCTTAAACACGTGTAACGAACGCCAACATCCGATTTGCGCCCAGTAACAACCACGACAATTGAAAAAAAGTCGTCGTTTCCGAACTGCTGTGGAGATAAGTTGGAGACTTTCTTCCTTTTCTGCCATGAAGTAGCAACAAAGAAGAACACGACTAGATTAGACTAGACTATCTGTGTAGACTAGAAGCACGACGGACGAACTATTTTCTCAATGCGCTTGCCGTCGCGATATATGCGCACCTCTACCGCTACACGAGCGAGCAGACTGTTGTCAAACCTGACTACGATAACCTTACGACCATTGCAGCACATTTCGAGCGTAACAGCAGCAATCGCAGCAGCCGCCGCATGTTGTTGCTGTTGTTTCTCACATTAGCTCTATGGTCCACAAAAAATGGCCAGCCCGTGGTCTCAAAACCCGGCACATACGACGCCGCGGGGAAACTAAACAAAAATAGGGTACAAACCAATCGTAAAAAGAAAACAAAATGATAAAAAGGAAATAACAGGTACCGCACCGACCGTTCGAGAAAGCGATCAAAATCAAACAAAAACAAATATAAAGGAGGACGCTTTCCACACCCGCCTTAAGAAAAAACCAAAGGGTAACGTACCAGCACCAGGCACTACGCACCAGGGCATGGAAGTAACGGAGCAAACAGGACAAAGAGGCGGCAGATGGGCAGACAGCCACATGTGCATAAAACAAAAGCAACAGCAACAGCGAGATCAAGGTACCCAACGCAGCAGAGTAGGCAGGGAGGACATGAAAAAAAACAAACACAGCACAGAGGCCGAAGGCAATATTAAGGACACACACAACGGAGTATACCATACAGCAGGGAGGGAAACTGGGCGCAACAACATCAGCCGGGCACATAGTTCGCCACAAGTGCTGCCTCGGCCGCCCTACTCGCTTCCACAGCAGTGCCCGGTCGCCATTTCTTCCCCCCCACCGCCGCTTCCCTGACTCTCTTTCTCTTCGGTCTTGAGATGGCCGTACTCTCTGTTTCTACTTCCCTCGCGTGGCGCTTCGCGGACGCTTCCGCCTCCTGCCTGTGTCATTTCCTCGTGAGCCATGCCGCCCCGTCCTCGACCTTGTTGTACCACACCTCCGGGTCCTTGGCGCTCTGTTTCCATTTCCCCCCTTTTGATCTTCCATGTTGAAGGCCACGAGGTCCTCTCCTAGACGAGACACCCAGTCGCTCTCCTGCCCGCCCCGGTATCCCACGCCCCCCGCCATTGCTCCTAACAGCATGCGCTTGGGGAGGCGGTTGTCCTCCATGCGCATAACGAAGCCCGCGAAACACAGTCTCCGTTTGCGCACGGTGGCCTCGATGGTTTCCTCGCAGCCTGCCTGGATGAGGGCCTGGGCATAGGACAGGGGGCGGTCTGAGGGTTTCCGCTTGCTCCAGCCGATGCACCGTGTAAGGGACTGGCGGTGGGTCCCATTGAGCTTGGTGTAGTGCTCCGCTGTTAGGCTCCATGAGGCGCACCCATACAGGAGAGTCTCCACCACTTGAACCTGGAGTAGCCTGATCTTGACCTGGCGGTCGGCCCGTCGCCTGTCGTACATCGAAGCACTGTTCCGGCGGTAGCACTTCCACGCTCGGCAGCTGCGGCTCGTGATCTCCCGGTCGGCCTTCCCGTCCGCGGAGATGGTACGTCCGAGGTACACAAACCGATCTGTCTGCTTGTACGTCTGGCCGGCGGCGCTGACCGTGAACGGGCGTTCCTCGATCCCTTTCGGCAGCATGCACATGATCTCCGTCTTTGGCTCCGATACCATCAGTCCGAACAGGCCGGCCACGCGCACGATGACCGACATCATCTTCTCGAGACTCTCCGGCGAGCGCGAGACGATGGCCGCGTCGTCAGCGTATAGCATGGCCCACAGGGCCTCCGCGTCCGTCAGCGCCGT